TACAGTTTGCAACCAAAAAATGATTAAGAATTTGTGCAAAGATGGTCATTTTTCATCAGTGTTATTAAGGTAAGGCATATTTTCCAATCCAGTTATTTTCTAGAAAATAGTTATATAATTATTGCAACAATAATCCAATAAGAGTTCCCATAACATGAGTTACTATGTAGCATGAAACAGCTATTATACCATTAGCAAAGCAGGAGCTGAATAGAAAGAAAACTAGCTCCACATGCAGTTAGGTCCATGAACTCTAAAATGTGTATTTTTGCAAGCTTGCTCAAGTGCTTGTTTTATTCATGCAAGAATATGAAATAAAGGCAGGGAAGTTCAGAATTATTTAGAATCGTATCTTATAGATTAACCATGCTAATTCATGCTGTTTGATCAAATTCACTTGGTTCCTCTTGTGGGAATTGCTGCAGAAATTAGAAAGTCTCCCATGGTTGATTTAACATGGCAACCATGACTTATGCTTATGGATTAACAGAAGACGAAATAGATCCTGATTTAGAGTAACCATATCAAATGCCAAATAAACCATGTTTTATTGTCCACACTTTCTGCAGGAGGGTCCATGGAGGAGAAATTGAATCAAGGGATGTGTACTAGCGTGTTTGCCCATTACTGAAAAGTCAGAAATTGAAAGAAAGAACGATGCCCCAATTGGACCATACTCTGGCATCTCTGAAGTATTTAGCTGCTTCTCCCCGTTTTAACATTTGGAGCATGTGCCACTCTTATACCTTGGAAGAATACAGAAGTATGATTTGTCTTATCAGTGGGGGTGACAACACTCTAGGGAACTTAACTTGATTTCAGAATCAAGCAGGATCGTGGTACCTGGGAATCCCAGGGCTGTAAGCTAGACTAAGAAGTGAGAAAAAAGTCTCAGAAGAAAGTAGTGGAAAACATCTGTAACAGTGCCAAGCATGCTGCATGGCAACAGCAGCTGTAGCAAAACATGATGATACCAAAATGACAATACACGTGCAATGTCATCATGCAGGTGTTGTCATTTGCCCCTCCACTTGCTTGACTCCTGCAAACAATGCTGCATGGAGTTCAGCTCAAGTTGAGAACATCTTTACCTTTTATCAGACTAAGTCACTTTTGAGTGTGCCTCTGAATTTTAAACTGGTACTTCCAGAGCCGCTACTGATAAGAAATTTTATACTTTTCAAGTGGAAGTGTTTGAGTAATTCATTTGCTCCCAGTGATGAGAAGTGGCATCTCCCCAAAAAGGCCAGACCAGAGTATGGTCTCTGTGAGTTAGTGCTTTGAGTGCTGTGAGCTTTCACAGCATAACTTTAGAATTTCTGAAATGAATATAAGAACCATTCTTACATTGAGTAAAACCACCTATCTGTCTAGCAAGACTTTGTTTATCTTGCTTGGTATCAGTTCTTCAGTGCTATAGGAAAATATTTTTCCCTAAGCCTTTTACTTAAAATCCTTTAAACCACAATTTATAGATACTATAGTTCAGTGGTAGAGTACATGCTTTATAGAAGATCTTATGTTAAATTATTGGTGTCTCCAATTTGATTATTTTGTGTAGTCACTGGGGATATTTAGTTAGATTGACTACTAAAGTGTGATCATTTTCCTATCTGTAAATGCCCCTTTCCCCCTGAAAATATGACCTCTCTGGAATAAATAACTCCTTATTGATTCTGTGCCATTTGTATACATGCACAAACCCATCCATCCATCCATTTACATCAAAGGCTAAGCTGGAAAATGGAATATAGATAGTCTCCAGTTTAAGAACGAGTTTCATTCCCAAGGTCTGTCTTTAAGTCGAATTTGTATATAAGCTGGATTGTATAATACTATATAAGTAGTATTGTGTAATGAACTTGAACTATTATGTATTTAACTCGAATTTTGTTACAGTAGGCTCTGTTCTTAACTATGGGTCATCTGTAACCCGGGTGTTCTTAATCTGGGGACTACCTGTACAGTTCTCAGAGAAAAATCCAGCTGTTGCCCAGACTGCAGACTTTGATGTAACAGGTGCCATAAACAGGAAAGACGGTTTGTGGCCTTGTTTGGTAGCAACTTACAAGTAAGGAAAAAGTAATAGTAAGTGTTGAGTCTTAGTATAGAAACAAGTTGGTTAATGTTCTTTTGCTCAGAGAAAACACTTGCTGTAAAATGTATTGCCCTCCCTCATAACTTGCAGACAAAAGGAAACTGAGATACCAAGGCTGGAATTTATGGATGCCTACTGTTGTCCCACTGCACAATGAATATGAAGTTTCTGGAGACAAGTTTTCACCTAAGAAATGCAGTTTGTTTTTTTTAGCCTTGGATAACTTGTTTCATATATTTCCAGTTCCCAAAGAACACTTAACTGAGAAGACAAAACACATCCTAAAAACAATTTGTCGACTAAGAAAAACTCCGACCTATAGTCGTTGGTCTTTGCATTGTTCTATCTATAATTACACTGCAGAAGCTATGCAGAATATGTAGTAAATGAGTTATAGTATCTTGTCCTTTGGACTTGCTGGCACACAAGCTCCCCCCAGTATGCTTTCTTCTGTATTGATATGCATCTATGGAAACTTGAAACACAGTATTTGGTCTTGATTTTATAGCAGTGGTGGATATATAATTGGAAAGCTGTGGAATAGTCTGTAGCTCTGAGTAGTTCAGAAGCTGGTTTGAGAACTTGTTCAGTGTGTGTTACCTGTTGAAGAACACACTCAGCCCCACCTACTGGGGAGAAGTGCCTTTGTACAGGCAGATTTTCTTATTAGACCCTTAGTGGCATTTCATACGCCGCAACCTGCATTACAGTGGTACCTCGGGTTACGAACGCCTCTGCTTACGAACTTTTCGGGATACGACCAGCTCTGGCCGCAAAAATTTGCCTCGGTTTGCGAACTCCGCCTCGGGGTACGAACCGGATCTGCGGCCATTTTCCGCCATGACACGTGGTCCGTGGCCATTTTTCCGCCCGTGCCACGCAGTCCACGGCCGTTTTTCTGCCCTGCCACGTGGTCCGCGGCCATTTTTCCACCCTTGACGCATGGTCCGCGGGCGCCCGAAAGGATTAACGGTAATTTCATTTAA